CTCCGAATGACGTAAGGCTGAAAGATTCATGGTTTTATATATCAAAATCACAATTTAAGAGAGCGCAATTTTCAAATCGCAAGAGCCATAATTTTTTTAAGTTATAGTCTATATTATTAACAACGTTGTCTTAAGGTTTAAGTGGGGGAGTTTAACCTAATAACTCAGAGCTTTTGAACTGCCTATAGATGAGTTAGACCAATCAGAGGCAACCAGACCCCCATGTGTTGTGACATCACAACCACAACGTACTGGCAATCGGGCACGCTACACACAGGGGTCGAGCCTCAGGCCAGAAAAAGTGGTTATTCTGGTCTTTTTGGCCAAAAACAGACCTGAACATTCATAGATTAATAGAAAATGACTGAAATTTAAATTGCAGTTGCAATATTAGCCTGAAAAATCACAATTAGATATTTTCCCCAAATCGTACTTTGGTGACATCTTAACAATAAAACTATTCTAAAACTTTGCAAACTCTGTGGACTTTCCCTTTAAGTGCATTGATGTTGATGGCATTCACAAGCATGAACAAACTGAGTCATCTGCACACAAACAAGTCAGCCAAGTGGTTTTCAGCAACAGTTTTGGGTTATGTGAACTGCAGCATTTGGATAAATATCACCTGATCTGACGTACATTTCCTGTATGATAAAGAAGATACCATAGCCCACCTGTAGTTCCCCCACCACACGTCTACTCTGGTGCTGCGCATACAGTCACATTTACTCAAGTCCTTCAGTCAGAATTCAAATCGCCTTTTTCACTCATTCAGAGTGGTTTGGGGTGAAATGGTTCAGATGTCTTTACAGTGGTGGTGATAGGAACCAGGGGTCGCCATGACTACAACACAAATATAGACATTTTATTTACTATCCAGAACCGCCAGTGAACCTACACGAGTCTTCTGAGCTTTGGTATGTTTTTAGTTATTAATTTTCTTTTTTATTTATCTTTATTTTATCTTAAGTTTCTATATTGTTGTAATTTTATGCTGCATTTTTTTTAAATGGCTTATACATATATACATATGCATACATGTACATACACATACACATACATACATATATATATATATACATATATATACACATTTTTAGTACTACAATTATTATTACTTTTTAGCATTTATGTTTTTACTGTCTAACTCAATCCCTGATTTCTGTATTGCTCTGCTTCACTGGAAATGAGGGTCTCCCTCCATGTTTAAATAAAGTCTGATTGATTGATTGATAGATACATCTGTACATATTACATACTGCACTGCCACTTTGTTTATATGTCCATATATATTGTGTATTGAACTGCCACTTCTTCATACACCCATGTATATAACACAGCTGTTTAACATATGTTTTCGTTTACCGTGTTTAGTGACTCGGTTCATTCACTGGATGTGACGTGCAGCGCTGCACTGTCACCTGCATTGCATTTCTGAGATTTTATTTTATTTATTTTGTACTGCAAATTATTTTTTATGGTTGTTTTAGTATATTTTATTATATATATATTTGCTTCTTTGATTTATGCATCTGTATAATAGTGTACAGTAATAGTTTCGCTCTTGTTTTGCTCTTTACTGAACTTTGTGCTGCTGTAATTGACGACTTTCCCTCCGGGGTTATTAAAGTGATCTATCTGTCTATCTATCTGGGCCTGAGGTCTCCAGGCCCAGTGCCAAGCGTGTGCTAGAGGGGTATAAAGCCCCCCAGCATTGGGCTGTGGAGCAGTGGGTTCGTATTCTCTGGAGTGATGGAGCTCCATCCAGTACCTTTGAGATGAGTTGGAGTGATCTAGAACTGACTATCCAACATCAGTACCTGACCTCACTAATGCTCAATCAAATCCTCACAGCAAGGTTCAACATCTAGTGTAAAGCCTTCCCAGAAGAGTAGAGGCTGTTACTGCAGGACAGGGGGACAAGCTCCCTAATAATACCCTTCACTTCAGGAGAAACTCTGGGGGTCTCCTGGAGTTTTGGGGTGTGTTCAGTGCAGCGCCCCCTAACCTGCTGATGAAGAACCTCCGGAAGCCGAAGTTCTCCTCGTACCACTTCATCACTTCTCCAGTGCTGCGTCTCGGGCAGGCGAAGGTCACGTGGTCGAAATGAGTGACGGGACACTGCGAGTCCGCGTCCGCGTCCGCGTCCGCGTCGGTTCCGTCCTCGACCCGCCGGAAACCCGGCAGAAACCCGCCTTCGTACCGGCTCCGGTCCAGCAGCGTGTGGCACACGTTCCCCACGATGGACTTCACGACGGTGTAGATGACACTTCCGCCGCCGTCGGGGTCGCGCACCTCGGTCGGAGGCACGAGGACGTCGCAGCCGCGGTCGCGGAGGCGCGCGCACGAGTCCTCCACGTCCTCCACCTCGAAGCAGACGTTGCACGCGCTGTCCACCGCGTAGCGCGGGCGCACGTCGTAGAGGTAGCCGTCGTGCCCATCGTGGTCGTAGAGGTCGCGTTCGTGCTCCCGCCGCTCGTTCACGACGAACACGGCGGCGCCTTTGCGCAGCGCGAGCTGCCGCGACCCGGCCGTGACGCGCGCGCCCACGGCCGCGAACTGGAACCGCGAGGCGAGCGCGCGCGCGACCCTCACCGCGTTCGACACGTGCAGAGAGACGTGATGGAGCCGGCACACGCGCGCAGCCATGATGGATGACGTAGGCGGAAGGGGGCGGGGGGAGGGGCTCCTGTCAGCACGTTACTAAACAAACAGCAGTGACGAAAAACTGTAGAATAAACTATGAGAGCGATTTCAGGGAAAACAGAGCCGCTTATTACCTCAACATCGACAAAAGCATCATATACATACATACATATATATATATATATACATACATACAATGGTCCGTTTCACCTGGGGTGTATTATTATTAGTCCATCTGTTTCTCTGATACTTTGTTAGCCCCCTTTTACCCTGTTCTTCAGTGGTCAGGACCCCCATGGACCCTCACAGAGCAGGTACTATTTGGGTGGTGGATCATTCTCAGCACTGCAGTAACACTGACGTGGTGGTGGTGTGTTAGTGTGTGTTGCGCTGGTCTGAGTGGATCAGACACAGCAGTGCTGCTGGAGTTTTTAAACACCTCAGTGTCACTGCTGGACTGAGAATAGTCCACCAACCAAAAATATCCAGCCAACAGCGTCCTGTGGGCAGCGTCCTGTGACCACTGATGAAGGACTAGAGGATGACCAACACAAACTGTGCAGCAGCAGATGAGCTATCGTCTCTGACTTTACATCTACAAGGTGGACCGACAAGGTAGGAGTGTCTAATAGAGTGGACAGTGAGTGGACACAGTGTTTAAAAACTCCAGCAGCACTGCTGTGTCTGATCCACTCATACCAGCACAACACACCACCACCACGTCAGTGTTACTGCAGTGCTGAGAATGATCCACCACCCAAACAGTGCCTGCTCTGTGAGGGTCCATGGGGGTCCTGACCACTGAAGAACAGGGTAAAAGGGGGCTAACAAAGTATCAGAGAAACAGATGGACTACAGTCTGTAACTGTAGAACTACAAAGTGCACCTATATAGTAAGTGGAGCTGATAAAATGGACAATATATATATATATATATATATATATATATATATATATGTGTGTATAATTTTTTTTCTTCCATCTGAGCCACTGATAAAATAAATGACGTTTCTAACGTTTAACTGATTTAAAACTGTTATTTGGTTGGCAGTGAATGTTTTTTATTTGTGGTCTGGTTTCAGTTCGTGAGATCAGATTATTTCTATTTGTTGCTTTATTCTTTGAATTTGCTTTTTAACGTTGTGCCAACCGTCCCCATAACACGTCCCAACCAGCCCCACATTATGTGACTGTAGTCATTAATGCGGTAATTCCGGGCGGTAAAGGCAGCCACTGAAGTTCCATCTCAAATATTACTGAAAAAGGAGTTGTAAAGTTTGGGCACCCCTGGCCACATGACATGCTCTGTTGAGTGTGAATAAGTGAACACATCCTCTACAGAGAAACACTGCTGCACATTTTAACACACAACTACTGTTTATTTGCTGAGTTTAACACACTGAGGACAAAAAATAAAACACAGCTTGTGGCCTGAACAAAAGTTATGGAGCATTATATATTTAATGTTGTGTTTTTATCAATATGCTGAAGTCCATATGCTACAAACTTCAATAGAACAGATGCAAATAGATGTGAATACAGTAAAAAAAAGTAATGAGAATTTATGGTTTGCAAAAAAGTAGGTAAATATCTTCTGAGCTAGTTTAAAGGACAAAGTTTGGTTCCAGATTTTTAAGTGTTGATTCACCAAACCAGGAGTTGGATGATACAGTTAATGCTGGGCTTCCTTGAGGAGAAGTTTGGAATAATATTCTAATATTGTTTTTCTGAGCAAATAAAAATGTACCGCACAGCTAAATGGCTTTATGTGTATTTTTTGTTTGTTTGTTTGTTTGTTTTTTGCTGTACTGTACATGTGTAAACTCAGCTCAATTAGGGTCGGCTGTTGGAATACAGTGAGCTCTGACTGGAACCAGTCCAGTCCAGTCTAAATTCATTATCTTCATTCTTTTAAAGGGAAATCTACCAGCTTTTCAAAAAATTCTATGCAATTCAGTTGTTGTGACTTAGACAAAGCCATTCAGAGTGGTCTGGTGTGAACTGGTTCAGATGTCTTTACAGTGGTGGTGATAGGAACCAGGGGTCGCCATGACTACAACACAGATATCTATCCCTTCTTCCCTCCATCCCTCCACTCCAGGTTTTCCCTGCTCCTCTGCTCCTTTATGGTTTAGTCTATCTATCTATCTATCTATCTATCTATCTATCTATCTATCTATCTATCCCTTCCTCCCTCCATCCCTCCACTCCAGGTTTTCCCTGCTCCTCTGCTGCTTTATGGTTTTATCTATCTATCTATCTATCTATCTATCTATCTATCTATCTATCTATCTATCTATCTATCTATCCCTCCCTTCCTCCCTCCCTTCCTCCACTCCAGGTTTTCCTGCTCCTCCTCTGCTCTCCGCTATGCTGTAGTCAGATGACTGCATGTCGCTCAGCTTCGCCTCCACTCAGGCTTTATTTTGGCTTTCCGTATCTCTCCGCCATTAAAGACTGCCCGCCGAACAACACTAAGCGATGGATTTCCCGACTCTGAAATGCTCCTAACGCCGAGCGGGACGCGGGGAGACCGGGCATTTTAGCTGCAGCGGCCTTTTTCGACGGAGAGGTACAATGTAAGGTCGTGTTTAGAGGCTGGACGAGGCTGAAAGCGGCTCTGACCGACTCGGAGAGGTTTGTTGTGGGAACTCGCGCAGAGCAGAGAAGGAGAACAGGAAAAGGTGAGGCTGATTTTCGCCTGTTTTCTGGGTTCTGAACACAATGTTTGGGTTTGTCTCGTCAACAGAGACTTTTATGGACCGATGTGTTGTCATTTGGGCCATTTTTATGGGATCAGTGGGATTAAAATCGTACCGAAATGTCGCTACTGCGGTACGTTAGCCGTCGAGCTAGCTAACCTAGCTAATAACGTTAGCCGAGGTAATTACGCGGAGTTGTGTTGAGGCTCGAGGCTAAACTGACTGCGCTAACGTTACTAACGTTAGTTTAAAAACACTCATCTTATGGACATTAATGACCCCTGTCCTGACCTTTAGGCAGGGCAGTGAGGTGGGTTTGGACGCTGTTAGTTTAGCCTAGTTTTGGGTTTGTTTACCTCACTGCCTTGTTTTGATGGGCACAGTTTAGCTGATGTTAGCCGTAAAGCTAATCGAGCGGTTCAGGTTGTTTCTCTGCTTCTCTAATTCTTCACTTTCACGCTTTAAAACGTTATTACGCCTCATTTTAGTATCTCATGTTTGTAGTTCTGATACAAGCAGCCCTTGTTTCTTAGCAGCTCAGCTGACTTCCTTACTATGGAGAGGAATTTGAGCCAAATTGAGTCACTACAGTGATAAAAGGTGAAAAGCAATGCACACATGACATTACTTTCCTATAGTGAGATACAGAATATATGCCAAAATGAAAAGCAAAACCTCTGTTACGTTGTTTTTATGTCAGTTGACCTACACAAAGATTTGCGATTTAAAAATGAAATGCTGCATTGGTGTCAGAATTGAATACAGTCCAGCTTGAAATGTAATGGAACAGCTATAGCCACCTTAAAAGGCACAGCTATTACTTTTCACTGTGTAGTGCGTCAAACAACGTTAAATTAACGTAATGACCTTGCTGAAAAAAAGACTTACAGGATTAAAACCTGATGGTATTGCTTTTAGGTGGGCATTGGCTTAATGTTGAGCGTTAGAGACCTTGTTTCCTGCAGGACACCATTAGGAAACCATCAAATGTATCTGGAATCAGTCTCAGAATACCTGTTAAACCATTAGAATCCTTTATACTGTGATTTCAGCCCCTCAGGAAAACACTAAATATGTGTACTGAAAATCCAGAAAAGAGGTCAAGCGAAGCAAAAACACTAGCAGAGGTTTGCTTTTCATGTTCACACTTATTCTGCATGTCGCTTATGTAAAAGTTGGTGTGTTAGTGTGTGTTGCGCTGGTCTGAGTGGATCAGACACAGCAGTGCTGCTGGAGTTTTTAAACACTGTGTCCACTCACTGTCCACTCTATTAGACACTCCTGCCTTGTCAGTCCACCTTGTAGATGTAAAGTCAGAGACGACAGCTCATCTGCTGCTGCACAGTTTGTGTTGGTCATCCTCTAGTCCTTCATCAGTGGTCACAGGACGCTGCCCACAGGACGCTGTTGGCTGGATATTTTTGGTTGGTGGACTATTCTCAGTCCAGCAGTGACACTGAGGTGTTTAAAAACTCCAGCAGCACTGCTGTGTCTGATCCACTCAGACCAGCGCAACACACACTAACACACCACCACCACGTCAGTGTTACTGCAGTGCTGAGAATGATCCACCACCCAAATAGTTCCTGCTCTGTGAGGGTCCATGGGGGTCCTGACCACTGAAGAACAGGGTAAAAGGGGGCTAACAAAGTATCAGAGAAACAGATGGACTACAGTCTGTAACTGTAGAACTACAAAGTGCACCTATATAGTAAGTGGAGCTGATAAAATGGACAATGAGTGTAGAAACAAGGAGGTGGTCAGAATGTTATGCCTGATCGCTGTTTTCTCTGTGTCACTATGGAAAAGTAAGGTCATGTGTGCACTGCACTTCACATTTTCAACACTAGTGATTGCACAAATTCCTCTCCACTCCTAACCAATCTCAAAACATTTGTGAAGAAAGATGTAAATCAAAGGTATTTTTCGTAACTGTACTACGTTGTTACAGCAAGAAGTGGAGGATGTCTTTATGGATGAAGAATAACGTTTACTAATATTGAGCCCTTAAATAGACACCTTCAGCTGTTCTTGCTCTCAGTTTGGTTCAGGACTGCCTGTCACTGCACTGCACAGTTTTAGTGCAGTTTGGCGATTTCCTTCCTGCAACACATCTGACTCAACTCAGCACTTTTACCAGCTTCGCCTGAGCAGGAAACCTACCAAACTCTGCTGGACTTTGTCCCTTCAGGAGTCCACTTTGGCCAAATTTCTGTGTGCTGACAGATAGGCACCAAACAGAGAGCCCTAACAGCTGAAAGTTTCTATATGAGCCAGAAATCTATAAAACTTTGTCCTGTGGGTTTTTTGTTTGTGAGGTAGTTTTTGAAAATATATTTTATAACATTACACTCTAGACTGTTAAAAAAAGGTTCTGCAGGTACATATTTCATTCAGTAAGGTAATAAAGGTGTAAATGTTCCCTCAAAGCTCCAACAGTGGTTTTAAGGTCTGATTGTGAACCTTAAATAAGTTTTTCCAGGTGAACCAGTGACAGTTTAGTACCTTTATTTTTGAGAGTGTATGATGTTACTGAAATAATTAAAACCTATTTCAAGAATTTTAGTAAGTTTTGTATCATAAATATGTTATTAACGAGTTCTCTCGTTGGGTAAGGTGGTGGATTTAGGGTAACCCTCACGGGCCAGCTTTGGCCTGCTGGCCACACTTTAGGCAGCTCTGCTACATCCTAAGGTTCTAAACTGTCTCTGGGTCAGTTCCCCTCCTGTCACTGGGGTGGAACCCTCAAGGGTCCATCTCAGTACCTTTAGTCAGGGAACATAACTGAACCATAATCCACTGAAATGATATGTTCTAAGCTGTACTGACTCCACACACCCCGTCTCGTCTCCAGGCTTTTATTTTACTGTTCTGTTTAAAACATTCGGTTATGAAAAGGTACAAATACGAACTTTTCACCTGGACAAACTTATTTAAGGTTCACAATCAGACCTTAAAACCACTGTTGGAGCTTTGAGGGAACATTTACACCTTTATTACCTTGCTGAATGAAATATGTACCTGCACAGAACCTTTATTTCCAACAGTGTATAAAACATCTGTACTGTATCGCATAGCTTTGTCCGAGATGTTTGGGCACTAACTGGAGGTCTTGGACCAAATTGTGAACACTAGCTAAAAATGTTTGTAAGTGATCAGTATTTTCAACCATAAAACATCCCCAACTTAACGCCAGTTAATGACCAGGTTTAGTTGGTGTTTAGACCAAGTTTAGAGCAGAGAAAGGCTGCCGTCCCCATGCTGAACCTTTTAAAGAACTAATTTTGGATTGGTATTAGGGCTGCTTACTGGTTCTCAAATACATGGTTAACCATTTTAGGTGGTGGTATTTACTGAATTATTTGGGTGTTATTCTTTGCTACTCCTTAACACCAGTGCCTTGACGCATCGCCAAGGACGTGACTGAGAAAGCAGAGATAGCACAGGTTTATCACCACCTGGGCTAACTTCTCTAGCGGATGCTGGCTAGGTCCAGAAAGAGTTAAAACTTATTTCTCTGACCAATAACGTTGGCACATCATCCACTGAGGAGAGAATGCCTCATGTAGATGAGTAATTAGCGTCCAGCTTGACGCTCATCCGAAGAGGCAGCCTCCGTTAATCCAATGCCAAAACCTACCTAACCTATTTTTGAATAATAACCTAATAATAATAACGAGAGCATGGAGAGATGCAGACTTGCCTCCGTTTCAATAAAGACCTTTGATTCTAGAATTTAATTGCAACAGAGCAGACAGACAGCAAAATACACAGAGCACAGTTAATAATTAAAATTTCAATTTAGGTTGATTTTTTATTATTTTAATTGATTAAAGGAAAACTGATTTAGTTTTGTTATATTTTTGCACATCCTTGGTTATAAATTTCAAATTCAGGAAAAGGATATTCGAGTTTTATTTATCTTTTGTATTAGCAGGAAAGTTCATCAGAACAGTGAATTTTTGAATAAGGTATTCATCTTTATTGTCTTCATTTTTGGTAAGCAAATGCATAAAACAAAAAAGCTAAATTAAAAAGCTGATAGCTACAGAAGTGTTATTTGGAAATGTAGTGATTCATAATCAGAATAATCGATTTTTCGTTTCAGTACTCGATAGATTATTCGACTATCACTAATCAGTATCAAGGTTTCAGCGTTGGTGTCGTGACCAAGTTCTTCCCGATTGTTTAATGAACTGGTTTGGTTTAGAAATCACCGTCCCTTATGCTGAAGTAGGAGGGGCGGATGATATAGCCCAAAAAAATCACGATACTTGGACATTTTCACAGTACATGACAGGATTCAACGTTAACTCTTTCCCCAACTTGCCCAGTCGGGCAACGACCTGAAAGTTCACTGTCCCGAACCAAATTTCTTCTTTCCAGAACAAATCTTTGTATTTTAAACTGTTATTCAAATATTAATCAGCACACACAATCTAAAATATTTACTTTACGATTATATTCTTCTTAAAATGAGCGCACGTTCTCTAAAATGTTCTCGCACGTTCTCTATCAGTGATCTTAATATTAGCATTTACATTCATGAGTTCGCTAATATTACCTTACTTTCTGCAAGCCACGTCAGTTCAGTACCGTCTACCAAGTTCCAGTCCAGGTTTTTCTCTTTTGACCGTGTGATACGCTGTTTTATACAACAGTCAGTTCCGCGAGCTGATTGGTTGAGAAGCGTTCTAACTGTGCTGTTATTTCACCATAACATCACAGGTTTTTCACAAACACTGCTAAGCAGCGACTCTGACAGCTGTAGGAGACGCTCAAGCTATTTAAACATTTTTACTTCTTACTTCGCCACAAACAGAAAACGGACACTTTTAAGACCACATTTGACCGACAGCCGATTTGGTCCGACTCTGAAGATGAGACGACACTAAATTCCCAAACTGTCGTCACCACTGAGCAGCTTTTCAGTCGGCAGCTGAGACAGAAGAACAGCTGAACAACCTGGAATCAGCCAGAAATGAACCCAACACCATTCGCCAAACTAAATGGGCTGTATGATGCTTTACAGACTGGCTGGAACAAAACAACATTAATACTGATCTGACAAAACTGAGCTGAACCTGATATTGCGGCAGTTTTATGGCTCAGTCTGATTTGGTCAGACTGAAGATCAGACTCCACGTTTGGCGAATGGTATTGGGTTCATTTCTGGCTGATTCCAGGTTGTTTAGCTGTTCTTCTGTCACAGCTGCCGACTGAAAAGCTGCTCAGTGGTGATGACAGTTTGGGAATTTAGTGTAAGGAGCTGGAGAACGAACTGCCGGCTGTGCAGCGAGTGGGCGGAGCTCGTTACTCTGACGTAGCAACAAGCTGCTCGTTAAGGAACTATAATTTGGTGAAGGAACTGCGAACATTAAAACATATTAAACGCCGCGTTCACGGCCCAGTTTATTAATTTATTACTGTATTTATTTAACTGTTGTAGTAAAGCAGTAGAACACTGGAGGAGTGTGTTATTGGCAAGTTATGTTTTTAACAAACTAATAAAAGCATCAATTACGGCTGATATCATCGGCCAGCCAGTTTTAGTTTATTAGGTATGTTTGAGCCAGGAATCACTGAGCTGTGCTGGACTCTGATCTTCTCAGGCTGCAGTTGGGCTTCCCTGTTTGTGTTTGGTTTGGAAGCTGCAGCCCTGTGGCTGCCGGTTATGTATCTACAGTTGCTTTGCGAAGGCCAGCGCCGGCTTTCCGGTATCAGTTTTCCGGCGAACAGGCAGGGAACAGCGTATAGGATTACAGCCTAAACCCCCCTCTCCTCACTGCGAGCTCAGCTTCATGGATGTATATATATATTCTCTCTCTCTCTCTCTCTTGCGCGCGCCCTCTCGCTCGTTCGCTCTCGCTCTCACTGTGGTTACTCGTTGCTGTCAAAGTGCCATTTGGCACCTCTTCAAAAACAAACGTGTAAAGTGTATGTCGGAAAAATCAGCACACATGACATCTGTATGTATGTTGGCGCGAGACTCGCAGGGCCTGGCTTCAAAGAAAACGTGAGTCAGAGGTCAGCGGCCAGTTTAGCCAAAACGTTTTGTCCTGCGCCCTCCTGTGTGGCTCCATCAAGGCGAACTGACATCCAATATTTGACACAGTCTGTCCACAAACACATTATCCTCTGCTTTAATAACGCGGCAGTCATGGTCATCAGGCTCACTGTCTGTGTTTACATGCAAAGATTTTCTCCAGTCTGATTGAAAACATTCCGATTATAGATTCAGACTGAGGTGTTTATTCTCACTCTGCTCTACAGTCTGATGAAAATCTCAGTTTACATGCTCACTACAAGTAATCCGATCCACAATGACGCGCTTTGGACCACTTAGTGTAGACGTTACCATGACAACCAGCATCACGTGAGTCCAGTCAGAGTGAGATGAGCAGCAGTGAGCAGCGCTTGTGTTTTTAACTGCTTTAAAATGATGTCAGACTCAGGAAAACGTCCTTCACATGTCCTTATTAAAGAAGGCCGAGAGGAGGACGTCGTGTTCTGAGACACATAAGCTGGACGTCCGTCCCACCGCCGTCTTTTAAAGATCAGAGCATAAACTTCGTCTCCTCTGCAGACCAGTTTCTGCTCCGCCATGTTGAACGGTATAAACTTTCACTATGACGTGACGAACATGATCAGAACGGACTTAAACTTTCCGATAGGGAATGTAATCAGATACAGGCGTTTACACGGATATTATTCTTCTATTTAACGGATTATTTACAGGATTACCCACCTCGATCAGTCGGATAGACACTGTATTCCGAATGGCCTCAATCGGATGTCTTCTATTCCGATTGAAGTGTAAACACGGACGTATTCTTTTCCGAAAGAATAGAATTAAACCACAGAAGAACAGTTATTTTGGTGTTATACTGGGCTCGACCACAGACTTGTATCTCTGTAGGATACAAGAATTTACATGTTGTTCACGTGATTGGCTGCTTAGCAACTCTTTAGAATGACTTCATTCATTTTAATTATTTTACTGTTATCATTTTATATATTGAAAGTGCTTTAGTGATCGTTCTACCTTATTTAGGCTATTTGTTAATTTGCGTGATTTCTCTTCACCCCTGCTTCGTCCCCGCTCCTGCCTGCAGTGGGCTGGTTTCCCGCCCGCTCAACACACAACACTGAAAATTACTCCGCCGCCGCTGATATTGTGGTGAGTCCTGCGGGAATCCTTTAGGAGTGCGGATCTCTCTTTGGTACCCGAAAGAGAAAGGTGACCATGTTCAGCACAGGTGCTCAGGCTCACCTAGTGTTCATCGGCTCTCTCAGCCGGGATGCTATAGCAGCGCCCTGCCTTGTGGCACCACACTGTGCGTCAGGTGTGCTGTGGCCTTAACTGTACTGTGCTATACTGTCCAGTAAAACAGCAGCACAAGACAGAACCTTGTCCAACTTGAACATGCTTTGTGAGACAGGCTGGTTTGTTATTCATGTGTTTGTTTGTCTTTTCTTCTGTTTCCAGCAGCGTGCTGCCTGCCTGCTCTCTGTATGTGACATCAGCACCGGTGTGAGTGTGTGTGTGTGTGTGTGTGTGTGTGTGTGCGTGAGTGTGTGTGTGTGTCAGCTGCTGCTGAACGACCATGACGGAGCTGGGTATGAAATGGGCCTGCGAGTACTGCACCTACGAGAACTGGCCATCTGCTGTCAAATGCACCATGTGTCGCGCTCAGAGGCCGAGCGGCACCATCATCACCGAGGAGCCGTTTAAGAGCGGCTCCATGCTGGACTCCCCGCACGGCGACTCAGGTGGCAGCAGCCTCCTGATCTGCCCAGATTCCAGCGCCCGGCCCCGTGTGCGCCAGGCACAGACCACCGAGTCCAGCGCCAAGTGGTCCTGCCACATGTGCACCTACCTGAACTGGCCGCGCGCTGTCCGCTGCACGCAGTGTTTGTGCCAGAGGCAGCGCTCCTGCAGCCCCACCGAAACACCCCAGACCTCCGGCTCGGGCCTCAGGTACGGCTGGACGATGTGACTGTGTTTTCCACCATAATGATATGGATAATAACACGTTTTGTTAATTTTACTGTTAAAACACGTGACAATAAGTTAACATTCTCTACAGAGAACACAGTTCTGCACATTTTAATGCACAATTACTGTTTATTTGCAGAATTTTAACACATGGTTTGGGACATGAAATGACCTGTGCAAATACAAAGGCACATTTTATACTTCGTTTTATTTTTTTACCAAATAAATAGCAAATAAGTAGAAATTTTTGCTAAAATTTGTAGGAAAATGCATAACTTTTTCTCTTCTGTAGAGGATTTATGATATGATAAATGGTACTGTTGTTATTGTTGTTGTTGTTGTTGTTATCATTATTATTATTATTATTATTATTATTATTATTATTATTATTAGCAGTCTCCTCACGCCGTGTTGCGGCGTTCAGTAATGCTGTATTTATACCGGTATACCTCCCACCTCTACTGTACAGCTTAGCAGTCTCCTCTGAGTGTGTTGAGGCTTTCAGTATGCCATTTTTTTATCGTTACATCTCCCACCCTCAGGTTTAGGTCTGGGTCAGCGCCCCCTGTGGACCCATGTGAAGAGTATAACGACAGGAACCGGCTGAACACTCGTGCTCAGAGGTGGATCTGTGCTGCCTGCACGTATGAGAATTGGCCCAAGACGCCACGCTGTGTGGTGTGTGACCACCCACGGCCCAACGACGCCATCCAGCTGACTGAGCCGGACGAGCCGTCGCCGGTCATCAACGAGCAGGACCGCGTGCGAATGCAGCGAGCCGGAGGCGTATGTGGGCCTGTGGGCCAGAGGCGGTCCCCGCCCGCCTCCAAACGGGACTCGGAGGTACAGATTCAGGACATTCAGTGTATCGAGCTGGCTGCAGGAGCCCATGGCAGTAAGGAGGAGCTGGAGATGGACTTTAAAAAGCTCAAGCAGATCAAGAACCGCATGAGGAAGAGTGACTGGCTGTTCCTCAACGCCTGTGCAGGTAGGAATCGTGTTTTTATCAGTGTTACGACTTCCGCAGTTGTTTAAAGGGGAATCCTATGGATTTTTCAGAATTTCTCCACAATTAAATTGCTATATAATGAAAGTGGTTCAGAGTGGTTTGGTGTGAAATGTTCTGTTCTAGAGAAACTTACCGAGTCAGAATAGTTCACAGTGGAAGTGGTAAGAACCAGAACCTTCTCAGAACTCATCATAGAAACCCGTCTCATACATCAGGCAGCGCATTTGTATCCTTTCTTGTAGTAACTTTCACTGAGGGAGCTTTTAGAGGTGGTTCCTATTTATCTATATATATATGTGTATATATATATATATATACACTCCCCATGGACCCTCACAGAGCAGGTACTATAGGTATAGTATGGTACGGTATAGTATATCCACTCGTACCAGCACAACACACACTAACACCCCACCACCACGTCAGTGTTACTGCAGTGCTGAGAATGATCCACCACCCAAACAGTACCTGCTCTGTGAGGGTCCATGGGGGTCCTGACCACTGAAGAACAGGGTAAAAGGGGGCTAACAAAGTATCAGAGAAACAGATGGACTACAGTCTGTAACTGTAGAACTACAAAGTGCACCTATATAGTAAGTGGAGCTGATAAAATGGACAATGAGTGTAGAAACAATGACTGAAAACCCTGAAAAAAGACCAAGCTTCAGAGAATTAAGCAGAATGAAAGTGATGTAAGGAACAAACACCAATTATTTGGGCAGCACTACTGAGAGTGGATGAAGGACTGAAAATGCGCGTGTCCTTGTGTGAGTGTATGTGTGAATTAGAGTGTTGAGTGTTGTGATTGTGTTGTTAAGCTGTGTTCTGTGATGTAATGGTGAGTGCTATGCTATGCCTGGTGCATGTACACGATAACGGCACGCGTTCTTCTCATAGCCTTGAGCTCAGTGCTGGGCGGCGTTGATGAACATTTATTTAGAAAACAGATGTTCAAATGTCCAAAAAACCCCAGGCAGCCCTTCTGATGAGTGAATTCAGCTACTTTAAGGTCACCCATTGCTTATAAATGTATTCAGTAGAACACGACTTGTATAATAACCGTAGAAAAGCGTTGTCCAATAGAATGGAAGCTCTGGAGCAGCTGCATATAAGCCTAAGATCACTATGCCCAATGCCAGGCGAGGGGTGGGGCGGTATAAACCCCCCCAGCACTGGGCTGTGGAGCAGTGGAACTGCGTTCTCTGGAGTGATGGAGCTCCATCCAAAACCTTTGGGATGAGTTGGAGTGACCCAGAGCTGACCATCCAACATCAGTACCTGACCTCACTAATGCTCAATCAAATCCTCACAGCAAGGTTCAACATCTAGAAGTCTTCCCAGAACAGTAGAGGCTGTTGCTGCAGCAAAGAGGGACAAACTCCCTATTAATACCCTTCACTTCAGAAGATCTAACATCTAATCAATATCTGTTATTCAGAAATTCAGCTAATATTCAGTTAACCCTTAGGACCCAGACAAAACGACAGGTCACTTCTAGCCTTCATAACTTCAGAACGGTTTACAAACATGATCCACATATCAGGACTTTCAGCAGACCCGCCCCTAACTAGCAATCATGAGTCAGTGAGTAATTCGACCCGGAAAATCACCTAAAATCCTGATATTATTGCTCAGCTGTTTGGCCTCATATTCCAACAAAGGGATAAAACAGCGACATGATTCACCATCAGATCATCATCAGACTCTGCCTCACCGTCCAGAGTGATTTCATCCACCTGTGACCATCAATCAGCCAGAGATCAGCTCCAAAATCACCCACAACCCACTCACTACTGTTATATTACAGCTCTGCTTTTAGCTCATATTATAAACAAAGGGCTTTCAGCTTACATTGATTTTGAGTATTAAAAATATCCGATATTAAATATGCAACTCAATTTGTAAATAAAAATAAAGCCAGTCTTGCTGCGTATCAGTTTTAGCGCTCAGCCTGAATCCAAGAGGACAGAAAATCAATAAAACACGTGCGCCTTATGCTAATAGTGTATTTTTACTCATAATAACCAATAGAATGAATCACCATCACAATTATTGCTCTTTCAGCTCACAGACACTCCAGACTAACAGTTTCTGAAAAGTACAACTACTAAACTACTAAAATAACTACAACTGAACTTGTTTTCAAGATCTCTATAATTAAAAAAAATACAAAATTTAGAAGGTGCTGGGTAAATTTTTGATCAGAAATTACCAAAATTCATAAAGATATCAAATTTCTGTCAGCATTTACATGTCAAACAATGGCATATCTGAGCAGCCCAGGGTCTCCTGAAAATAACAACACAGGGTCTCCTGAAAATACATGTGTGACTGTCACATGTAAACACTTTATAATTGCAATTGTAATTGACCCAAAAAATACCAAACAAATTCCCTGAAATTTCAGGTTTCTAAGGGTTAATATTGCTTTGAAGGGATCCAGTTGGTGCTGTAGTGTATTACTCATTATTTCTTTTGCCAAGCATGTCAAAAGTTATTGTCTGGCCTGCCAGAAAAAAAAATATTGGTAACACTTTCTATGAATGTCACCTTTGTAAGCATCTATAAACACATTCATAACATGTTATAATGCATTCATAAGACATTATAAACATAGCTATAAATATTTATAAAAATGCATTATATGTTATAGCCATGTTTATTATGCATTATGAATTGTTAACATAATGCATTATAAGTACTGATCATAACAAATTATAAGAGCTCATAAGTGGTATTTGTCCGCTCTAAGTAAAGTGAAGCGTACTGTACTAAAGCCTCCTCCAGTGTTCAGAGTGAGGCTTCAAGTTGAAGTATTTACTGAAGGATTTACTGAAACACTAAAACATTCACAGTAAAACACATTACAGGCTTCAAATGTCAGAGTTTAAACTAGAGCTGCCATCAGTGTTTTACCCAATGTGGGAAAGGTAATGTTCACCACCGTTAGCTTGGTATTTGTCTTTACTTTACGCTCTCCAAGCTGGGACTGACTTCATTCACACTGACATTATAACAAGTTATCGACACTACTTATAATGCATTATAATAACAATTCATAATGTATAATAAACATGGCTATAAAGTGTAACTCAGTGTAATTCTTTTTATAAATATTTATAACCACGTTTATAATGCCTTATGAATACATTATAACATGTTATAAATGTGCTTATAGATGCTTACAAATGCGACGTTCATAGAAAGTGTTACCAGAATATTTTAATGTTTCGTGAGTTCAGTGAACTTGTTTCTTCGTGGTTGTTTTTTTGTGTGTAGTTCCTCCTTCAGTCAGGTTTGCAGGGCAGTGTTATGGTCTGCGAGCTCTTCAGTGGTGTCTGAATGAAGGCTCTGTCTTACTGTACCAGGCTGGAGCGTCTCCACAGGGTGAAATCATACATTATCAGGTCTGAGCTCACTCTGCCTGAGTCAGTACTGCCCTGTGTTCACGGTGTCGACAGGGATTTCACAGAATTCACACATGAATAATGTGATGTTTTTTAGCTGCTGCTTAATAATATTTATTTTAATCTTATGATCGCTTCCACAGGAATATGTGTCCCTTTGCATGGTTAAAGGCTCTTTGCATCATGAAAGGGTTCTTAAGATTAATGGAGAACGTGCCCTTTTTGGTGCTAAAGGGAACCCTTTTCAAAAAGGTTCTGTATAGAACCACAGCACATTCTCCATCAATCTGAAGAATGCTTTTGCAATGCAGATTAATGGAGAATGTGCTGTAGGTGGTTCTATACAGAACCCTTTTGAAAATGGTTTCTATGTAGCGTCAAAAAGGGTTCTGCTATTATTACAACGTCAAGCTTGTTACAATAGAAGAACCCTTTTTGGTGCTAAAAAGAACCCTTTTGAAAATGGTTCTATGTAGAACCATCCACAGCACGTTCTCCATTAATCTGAAGAACCCTTTCGCGATTCGGACCATTTGCTCATGCAAAGGGCTCTTTGAGTGTTCATAGTTCTAAACAGAACCATCTTTACCAAAGAACCGTTAAAGAACCATCTTTTTGGAAAATTATGCATCGTTTTTCTAACTGTAAAAACCTGCACACTTAACTTACATGCATGTTGGCTGGCTTAGAGGCAACAATCAGGACTTTCATGTTGCAGACTTTGTGGAAGATGTTTTGACGTTCAAACTCCAGGTTGTGAAGTGACTCTCGCTGCATTCCTCTCCTAAAAACTGTAAAAATTATGTATATCAATACTAACATTGCAGTTTTGGACAGGATGTCACTGAGAAACATCAGTAGCCTCATAAATACGATGCCTCCCCTCACAGTGTGAAACTAATCCCTTCCAAATAGAACCTCAGTTGCTTAACTTATTTCGCTGGCTGAAGAAGTACGACTTCATTAACTCGCTGGTTTTCGTATAGTGTAGCTAAGAGTAATGAGATGTTCACCAGTCATGATGTGTCTGCATGCACAGCGTGGCTGTGTTGTGTGTTCTGATGAGACACTTGAACTCTTATGCTTGTAGATGTATTTCGTTTTTTTCTGAATTTTCATGCCCAAATTATAAGGCAGATAATTCAGTAACTGCATAAAATAAACGTATTTTTTTTGTTTTGTTTTGTAAAATCTCCCCTCAGATTAACAGAACGTGTTTTATGATCACACATATTGCTATATGCTTACAATTTACTGCTGAAAGCCAAAAATCTCAGACGCTCTTTGTATTATTTTATAAAAGTAATTTTTACAGAGCAGATCACTGAAGAGACGCCGTCTGAGATCCAGTTTACAGCTCAGATTTGTGGAAAACTGGGTCAAATTTCAGTAAAAAAAAAACTGAGTTCAGCTTCTTTTATTATAAGGGTTTAAAATGACATCACCCATCTATCTGACTGGACAGAAGACAGTTAGAGCTGAAGTAGGAGTTAAAAAGGTTAAATCACTCTTCACAGATGAAACCGATAGAAATGTTTGCACATGAGAGTGTGGGACGACTGAGGAGTCAAC